TTAAACACAGATATCAACGTGTGCTGTTCAGGTCTCACCTGTGCGCGTGCGCTATCAGCACCCGGGTGATGACTGAATAAATGCTCATATTCCAGCATACGGCAGTCGCACTGAACAAGAGTGAATGGTTTGTCCACGTTTTTTTTTTCCATCGCTGTTGTTGTAAAGTATTGGGAAGCCAGAATGCGCATCCATCAACAATTAACCGAATTAACCGAACCCTGTTTGTTTTACGTGTTATTTATAGCAAACCATATTACAGATGCATTGAGTTGAACCGCATGACAGTCCACCATGACTAGCTAATCAAATCACATGTAAATAAATGCCAATATTCCCTAAACATACCCAGTAAAGACCAGTAAAGTCAGGATGCGCCGGCTTCCCTTTAAATTTGATTGATGATTGCACCTGCGCCTGCCTCTCATCTCGATAAATCACTTGAATGCAAGCGGAGTCGGTCTGGGGCGTGAGTGCATGTCAGGGGAGGCGCGAAGAGTGATAAAATAATATTTAATTATTGACTACTAATTTGAATCAGTACATTATAATGAAAACAATTCCTTAAAAAGGAAAAGAAGCATGTTTTTGCGATCAGATTTTTTAAACCGGTAAACTCCTGTAAACTTTTCAGTTCAAGGATCCAAACGAATGCCTTCAAACAGTAGCCTAAGTTCAAAACAGCTACAGAGAAAACCCGACCGGTTTCATTAGAGATTACTTAGAGTCACGTCCAGAATTATTATTTTTTCAGCGTGTATTTGGCTTAAAAGCACGAGTGTTTTATAATGGACGCTGCTGAAGCCTGAAGGTGTTTTTTAGATTCTGAATGGATCCGTATAGTAGCCTGTACAGTCATGTCAAGGCAGTAGGTTTAGTGATCTTTTGGCATTTTGGGGTGAACTAAATATGCAAGACTAGTCTTGACTCTTACATGTCACTGTTTATAACACAGGCCGTTCATCCTTTGCTGGGCCGCTTAAAAAATGGGGGCATAAATTAAGAGTATACCCACTTCTCCAGGCACCACTACACCACTGCCTGTGACCAACATAAAAATTCCTTAGGACCTCCAGGATGCAGTAGCAGTGGGTGAAACAAAGAGAGATCACAAAGATCCATCAATCTTTAATCATCAATAATTTCAATCATCAATTTTCAAGACACTTTTCCAACAGTGTGATTTGGACTCTACAATTGAAAGAAGGGTGGCCTCCTCTGATGCCAGCAGCCAATCACAGCACTGAAATGGAGAAGTATGAAATTGCAATCTCCTCCTCATTGGAAAGGGACAAAGGTACCATTTCAACAGACACTCCTTATCCTGAGTCTCCTTCTTGAGTGGTAGAAGGCAATAATGGATATAATGATGATGCAAGGTTATGAGTCTCTGGCCCATGAGGGAGAGACAGTAACAGATGCGAATCTCCAGCTTTTGAGGCAGCAACAGATACAACCACCATTAGATACGTCCTTGACGGGCGTCCTGAACTAAAGCCCTATTCGCATGGTATTAGTATTATCTGGAGACCTCATGTGATTTAGAAATACCCCCCACATCTGAATTTCGTGTGACGCATTCGCACAGGATAAGCAAAGTCTGTGATTTTACTTGAATTTACTGACTTATAACCCGGATATGATGTCAAGGCTTTGCGTGATATTATATATCATAAACAGGAGAATGTTCCTTACTGCATGCTGCTATAACATCTCCATTTAATCATTCTTTTTGTTTTCGCTCTTCTGATGGTTTTCAGCTTTCTCTTTCTGCAAATTGTATAGTTGTATGGTGTATACCAATATGACCCAGCACCCAAAATACTAACAAAACCCTCCAACACAGCCTCCATTCTTCACTAAAGATGGATAAAAAGGCCCACAGGAAACAAAAACCGTGAAAAAATTATATACGACCCCGCCAAATCCCTGCCAAATCACCGAGATGCTGATTCGCACCGGACTAATATTATATGTTATAGCACATAAAAGGATACCCTACTCAAAAATGTACATCTAAAAATAGTAATAAGCAAAGATTTAGTAGTAGGTGTTTGCAAACTTTAGACTGGTAGTGTATATTAAGTCTTCTAAAATGATGAGATTGTTTTCCTTCCATCCGAACTGCATGACAGGTGTGTGACAACTTGTTTGTAAACAGAAGGAAAGCAGTGAAATCACAGCAGGAGAAAACAACAGAGCTGAGATTAACTGCAGACAAACGTCATTAGACGAAGCTGTGAATGCATTGTGAACATAACCTCAACAGCTGTAAATAGATGTATAATTTTTCGGAGAGATGTCCTCACTTTTCTTGTATAATCAGTTGCTACACTGCTTGATGTTGTGCCATCGCAGTCTTACCCAGAAGAGTGATGATGCAGCCCAGTATAGCAAGCAGAGCTCCAGTGCTAAGACCCGCGGGAAGAGAGAAAGCCACGGCGCCACATGCCTGAGGAACGCCGTTCACACCGCAGTCACACACTCGCACGGAAAGAGTGTTAGTGCTGCTCAAGGCCGGACTGCCACTGTCCACAATCAACACTGGCAACATGTACAGCGACTGCTCCTGCCGCCGGAAACCAGCACGCTTCGTCAGCACTGATGCAGTGTTATCTGAGGTGAGAGGAAAGGCCAAATGTCAAGGTTTAGAATGTGCACAGTGAAACTAGCTGTTAGAATGCATTCAAATGTCAAGAGGGTCAGATTAGATCAAAACTGGTCACCTGACACCAAACCGAGGATTGAGTTAAATAAATTCCTGAATGAAGGGATTGATGGATGGACTGATAGACACATGAAGAGATGAAAGATGGAAAAAAGTATTTGCATCATAAAAAGGAAGGAAAATATGTATATACAAAACATAAGCAAACATTAGACATTCTCACTCCACTATACAGATGCCAAAAGTACCTTTTAGCACCATTTATCTGTAAATTTACCTTCAATAGACTGAATATCTTTAATATCCTGGCCACATTTTTCCATACAATAATAATTTAACAATAAATAAAAAAATAAAAAAATTGAGGACTGGGGCTGTTGAGCTCCAAAATGCCCATAAAAATGTCAAAAACCACCCATACATGTTACATGAATCTTTTCAGTTAATAGGTCGATACTGTTTTAAAAACAGGTTTGATTGATTTGTCTATGGATTTGCTCAATTATAAAATCAATTCACTGAATAACAACTTCGGTTTTGCTCTGTTTGTCCACATTCCATGGAAAAGATTGTAATTCCACAGAAAAGAGTGACTAAATACATTACTGAAAATCTCACCTTCTGTGTTCTACAAATCTCCTGCCTGTGTCTCTCTGTACCAGCTAAATTATATTAGTAGGTATGAATCTGCAGGGCTGCAATAAGAGCTTTAGCTTTACTTGACAATTGACCTCAGTTCTTAAATTAACCAATATACTAAAGTTTCATACATTATCTAACTGCAGATTTCGGTACACCTATATATAAAAATAAATCAGAACTATAAAACCTAAAATGGAAATTTAGGATAGATGAAAACTATAACATTTAGAATGGACGTTTGGTTCCTATTTAAACTGTTCATAAGCAAAGTTTGAATTAAAATACAGTTGATATAAAGCTGTAGTAAAGATGAATAGCTTATTTCTTGCATCAGCAAACAGAATTGCAAAGAAAAAAAGAAAAAACACCCTCGAACAAACAGCCCATCTGCTCAAACTAACCAGACTGCAAATCCGTTTGGTATTGCTGTAGCAACCATGAAAATGTCAACATTTGAAACATTGCATGTTTTGGTCACAAATGCATTATACAAACAGCACTTGTAATTCTCTCATGGTTTGCAGAGTTTACCTTTATTATCTCTGAGGGTGAAGTTGTCATTATTGGCAGCAGAGAAAGCGAGAGAGAAATAGAAACGATGGCCGCTGAGAGGCTCGTCTTTATCCACAGCACTGATTGTCTGAATGACCTGTCACCAACCCAAGAAACAAAAAGAGCTTGTCAAAACATACAGCTGACTCTTGTCTTTCAAGGTTGAGTGTTTAAATGACCGATGTTAATTAATAAAACATTTTCAGAGAAAAGAAAAAAGTAAGAAATTTACAGTATACTATGCCATATCACAATGTCCTTTTCAGGAGGTCAGTTTGGGGGTTTTAGGTTTTGTGGCATCGTTTATCATTCAAACTCAAAGTAAGTGGTTATTTGGCAGGACATTTAAGGCTGTTCTCAGAAGGAAAATCTTTTTAAGCAGATTTAAATCTTTATGTCTGAGACTAGAATCAATACTGTGTAATTAACTTATGAGGACATTGTTCTCCCACAAATAGGATACATGATTCAGCCAACTTGGCATTTGATCTAGATAATGCTGTACAAATTATAGGATATGTGTCATTGCAGGACTACAATTCTGAATGTCAGGAAAGACTCAGTCTGCCAAAAATAAATAAACAGATAAATGAATAAATACACACGTGAACAGGGGTAGCTGAAAGGCTAATTAAAACTGACATGGATGTACAAACAGTTTTAAAGCTTCAGTTGAATAGAAAAACATGAACTCGTAACACTGTGTCCTAACCAGTGACTAGCAATTTGTCTGTCCATACCAAACACAACACTGCTACACTGCACCCTACAAAATCAATCAAATATCAAAGGCAATCAGAAGCGTATGTGGGCGGGTTCTCTCTGGAAGTGCACTGCACTCCCAACCAAACGAAAGTTTATTATCTAGTTCATAAATATGAAACCTTTTTAACATTATTGAAAGTACATACTGAGTGACTGACACCATCTTTGTTATGGAATACACTTGTTGGTTCACAGCGAGTTCACAGTTTTAATGTAAGTCTGATTTAATTTATTTTAATTTTAAATAAACTATAGTTGATTTCAGTTTGGCTATAAAGGTCATGCAAAATTATATTCAAACTCCCATCAGACACTTTTAACATTGAATAAAACCCCCATAATGCACTACTAGGGTCATTCTAAATGAATTCCTGTGTCTCGCCAGAAGATGGCGCCCACTGCTGAATTATCCATCAATTTTCCAAACCGCTTGTCCAATGTGGAGACAGCATAATATCATACAGGCATACATTTCTTTTCAACTGATTATTAAACAGTTTAATCAAGTTTATAAATGCTAGTTACAGAGTTCAAGATAAAGCTTTACATTACTACTGGAGCTGCCAGTTTGCTATTTTTTCTAATGATTATTAAAGAGCAAGTACGAACTATGCAACAGCGGCAGCCCTTTCTGATCACTCAGTACCCGAATTCACATTCACTCCTTCAACTGGACTATATTAGTGGACTAATAAAGGGAACAGCATTAGATTAGCATGGAAAATAAACCTTGTATCGCGTGTCACTGCGTCACATTAGGACACAGTGTAAAGCTTTAATAACGGTGTACATAAGCTAAGGCTGGCAAGAAGAGTGAAACTCTCCACAAATAGGGTATACTTGGGTGTTGCGTTATTAATGGCATTAAAGGAACCCAATAAAGGCATTTTGTCCATGCATAAAAGTTATTTTAAGCCTAGAGTCAAAGTGTCTATGAGAACATGTTCCTTTAGATGGCCAAGCATGCAAGCGTGAATGTAGGTGTGTGTGTAAGTGCATTATGTCTCGCAGTGATAAAAGTTTTGTAATATTACATAAATTAGTAGTTAAAAAATTACCAAGCCCATACAAAGCCTCTCTTTCTTGTTATAAATACATTATTTACTGAGAGATGTTGAGTGTTGATGGCCTGGCTCTCATCCGCTCTGTGAAAGGAGCTGGAAACACTTAGCATAACAGCATTGTTCTAAAGAGACACCCTTATAATTAACAGTTTTTATAGTTTGATTGATGCTGTAGTATTGTGAAATAATGTCTTTTCATTTTTAGAGTGTCAAATAAAGAGCAATAAAATTTTCTTTGATCTCTAATGAAAAAGAGATTGATGTAACATGAACACTGGATGGGACTAACCAACAAGCTCCAAAGTGATGATGGTTTTGGGTTCCTCCGAGCTTTACTTAGGAGAAAAGAGACAGGAAAGGGCATTTGCTTTCATGTTCTTGGTCCCTGGATGATAGGAAATGGTGAACTCAAATTGTATAAAGAAAATCTTGCTCCCCCTCCTTAAATCGCTAAAAGGCTCGGGTGGCCTCTGGAGACCAGGGCCCGTACTGATCAAGTGTAAAACAAATTCTTGGCTCAAAGCTGTGCTTAAAAGTTAGTTATCAAGCATCTCAGTCGTAATTTAAGCGAAGTCTAGGACTAAATCTTAAGTGTCAGTCTTAGAGTTGATTCTCGACACTGTGCTGTGCCACAAATGGGATTTTAGATGATGAAATACGCATGGACCAATCACTGAATAGATTTCCTTATTTAAGAATATTCTCAGATAAATTCACATTGAATGGTTAAATTCCTAATAGGAGTTTACATTTAACACACATTTGACAATAAAGAATTTTCAAGAGAATATATTATGGTAAGGAAACGAATCGTCATCACAAACTTAAATTTAGGGTTGTGCCGGTAGACGATAGTATCGTGTATCGACGATAGTCAGAGATATCGCCTGTTGCTGATTTCTTTGACGACAGCAAGACGATTATGATTATTATTATTATCCGTCAAAAATATAGACGCTATATATAGCCACTTCAGAAACTTGCCTCAGCGCGGCTGGTGAGTAGCCATGATCAGCTCTGGTGGCCGTGTCGGAGCCGTAACGCACCGCAGACGTGTGCAGTGTAAATAAGGAGTAAGAGATTTATTCATGATACAGTGTAGGTAGCTTCCCATCTGCCGTGCTGCTGGTTTGTGATTGTAGCTCAGTGTAGCTTCGCTTTTCTGTAGAATCTCTATCATACTATCACTCTCTGTTGTTTGAAGTGATAAAATATAACTTAAATCCCACCATATTTCTGATATTATCTATCAACTTAATCTGATTAATTTGATTGTTCGCTTTTATTCTAAAACCGCGAGTGCATCGCGCGTGCAGCGCGTTAGCATTCGTTAGCCGGTTAGCTTGTCATTAGCGTTTCCATTCGTGCCTATTGCTTTTTTCTTTTTTTCTCTCGCTCCATTTTTTTTTCAATCAATCACGGAATCATTGATCAATCATGGATCTTCCAATGCGATGGCGCCGCAGACAGCAGCATCAGTGTTTGGCTCTCCAGTGTTTGTACTGTTTTTGTTAGTTTTTCCTGTTTTTTGTTTCTCAAACACGATCAGTTTTACCAGGGATGAGCTGCCACCACGCCTGAGTCCCCGGCCAAGATGGCCGCCACGCCTGAGCCTCGCCTTGCCACGGCCTTCACATCAGAGCTTCCCCACGCCACGGCTGCCAAGCAAGTTTCCCCTAAGGATTTTTTTTGGGGGGGGGGCGGGGGGGAGCTATAGTACCCAAGCTCCAGTGGATGCGGAGCTTGGGCTAGGACTGAAAAGACTGATTGCTAGCGTGATGGATCCACCACTGATGTCAGTGCGAGCAGCTGGCATCCCCAGGGCCTCAACACTGGCTGTCACAGAGACTGTTCCCCTAACCTCAGTGCTTCCTTTTATGGCATCCACTGCAGTACCTCCAGAGGTGGTGGCGTCCACTGCAGAACCTCCAGAGGTGGCGGCATTCGCTGTAGAACCTCCCGAGGTGGCGGCGTCCGCTTATGAATTCACAGTCTGCCCTGTCACGGCCAAGGAGGCCGTCCATGAACTCTCTGTCTGTCCTGGTCAAGGAGACCATCCATGAACTCTCTGCCTGTCCTGTTACGGCCAAGGAGGCCGTCCATGAACTCTCTGCCTGTCCTGTTACAGCCAAGGAGGCCGTCCATGAACTCTCTGTCTGTCCTGTTACGGCCAAGGAGGCCGTCCATGAACTCTCTGCCAGTCCGATAACGGCCATGGAGGCCGTATCTGAGCTCATCGCCTGCCCTGTTACGGCCAAAGATGCCATTTCTGAACTGACCACCAGTCCTGTTACGGCCACAGAGGTCGCTGTTAAATTCTCTGTGCTCTCTGTTTCAGTCCCGCCTGATCCACCTTGGTGGAAACCTGCTTTGCTGGGGTGGTCATCTATTTCACTGTGGGGATCTTTGCTCCTGCCTGCACTGCTGACCTGGTGATCCTCTGCTCCGCCATGGCTTCCTGCGCTGTCAACTCCGCCATAGCTCCATGCTCCTCTGGATCTGACCTGTTGGTCTCCTGCTCCACTATTCCACAGCCTGCCTCTGATCCACGGCCCAGGTCCTCCAGAGTTTCACTGTTTGCCTCTGCTCCACAGCCCATGTCCTCCATTGTTCCACTGTCTGCCACTGTTCCATGGCCCAGGACCTCCACTGTTCCACAGTCTGCCACTGTTCCATGGCCCAGGTCCTCCACTGTACCACAGTCTGCCATTGCTTCACAGCCCAGGTTCTCCACTACCCCACGGTCCAGGTCCACTTCCACTTCCACTGCACGGACCTGGCTCTCCATCCCACCCCCTGGTCTACCTCTGTTCCACCACCCTCCCGAACTGTTGTTTTTGATTGGGGGGGGATTCTGTAACGCCACGCCAGCAGAGGGAGCCCTTGACTAGGTACTGACTGTTACCGCTCCCTCTGCTTCCTCTATGGTGATTTCCTGTTTGGCAGCCATATAAGTAAGTATATAAAGCCTGTGCAAAGTATTGTTTAGATGTAGCAGACTCTACTGAGCACTCTCCATGTTTTCCATGTTTCATTGCCATTGTCATTGCCTTGTTTATATTGTTACTTTGTACTGCTCTCTTGGATTTCGACCTTGGATTGTTGCCTTGTATTTTTGTGGATGTTTTGCTGCCTGCCCTGACCATCGTCTGTTTCTGGATTATGCTTTTGTCTTGCCCTTGGATATTATTGTTTGCTGGTATTCGGACCTTGCCTGTTTTTGACCACAAACTGTTTTAAATAAAGCTTGCATTTGGATCTATCATCG